TTGAGATTATTTTTTTCTTGTCTCGATAAACATACTTGAACTTGGCTTGGCGCTTTCCCCCTGATAATTCCCCCCTTCCCCCTCGAACTTTGCTCTCGTCACCAGGAGAGTCATATTTGGAAATTGACCTATTTACAATGAGAAAAATGAGAAAGATTTTGCATCTTTCAGGTCATTAGAGCTAACTCTTGCATCAACTAACAATGTGAATGTCTTTTAGATCATTGGAGACTTCGAAATGATGTCAGTTATGATGGGTCTGCAAGGTGCCGGAAGGACTAGATTTGAACATGATTCACTCCCATTTTGAAACAATTTAAGAACAATGACGTCAGTGACTATAGATACTAGCTTCGATTATAGTCAAATCTATACACAGAATTAGAGTAAATATAGAACGTTGTCATTAATGCATATAAATAATAATTTAAGGTTTATTCAATTATTTGATATATGTGAAGGGGATTGTCCACGTGAAACATATCGAAATATTAGTTTATAGAGAATTCTGCTCATCGCAGGAGAGCGGACACAAAGCACAGTGCTTTCTCAGGTTTAACTGAAGCAAATTGTCCTCAGGCTAGGCTCGTCTGAATGGCCGCTCAGTGTATAATAATATTAATTATGTATAAGAATAATTTTTATGTGTAATAATATTAATTAATATATGACAACAAACCAATGTTTAATACTCAGTATGTTAAAATTGATGAATGCGTCTGGGGAGGACGGCCGCTGCTTTAACCAGCCTAGTGTGAGGACGGGTTGCAATTTGATTAACATGCTGTTCATTCAAAATAGGAACTTTCTCAATTATAAAGTAATATTATTATATATTAGCATATTGTGCATATTTAGGCATTCGTTAGGCTAGGTTAGGTGTTTAGGTTCTATTGGCGATTATCTATATGGGTTCGTATCTTGGACGGGGAAGATTGACTAGGCACCAATCCTTAACTGTATACCTGTTCACTCAGCAACTGTTCACCCAGCAACTAGTTACCCATTCGGTACCTAGTTAAACGATTTGGCCGGGGAAATTAGGATTAAGGACCTGCTGCCCGAAACGCTATGTGTGCTAGTGGCTGTACAAGAAAGTAAGGACTCTTGTATATATAAATAAATAACACAAAATTACTAAACAGTTAGCGAGATACGAAACACAGCTGATCTACAACTTGCTAGTAATACAGGAAGAATACAGGATACATTTTCTCTAACTAAAATTCAACTCATTAGCACCTGGGAATCCAACTTGCAAATTACATAATGTGAAGCTCACAACAACAATTATATATATTATAATATAATTAATGCAGGGTTATATAATTTCACTTGTATGGATGCCGTCTCATATATAATTTAATAATTCATTTAATCGGTAACAAGAAGCCTGTGTTTTTATACACTTCAGGCTTGTATCGAGGTCCCTCTAGCACCGAACTACTGACCCTCGTCACGATGTAACAACAATTGCTAGGTGAACAGAGGCATTTGGTGAATAAAAAAGGGCCCCATGTCTGTCCCCGCCCAGGATTCGAACCCGAGGTCCCTGAGTATGATTCGAGAGCGAAGCCAACTGTACTACGAGACCCTATGTACCCGAGGTAACAGAACAGACAACTAAATCTGCATGTAAAAGACATGAAATGGAACCAGCCCTAGGACGCCCATTCCCTAGTGTGAAAACCCCACTGTTTCACAAAACAAAATATTTAGTCTGACAGAATAAATCACATAAGTTGGCACTAAGCCGTAGAATTAAGAGCTACGATCTATTTAGAACATGTTATTGACAGATGAAGGCTAAGATATTCCATTCATGTTTATAAGGCTAAGATATCGTTACCTAAGGTGGGTAATGGCACGGTACGAATCTTTCAATAAGTTTTCAACCTCTGTGAAAATCCTAGGACACATTCTTCAACACTATATATATGTATTGTGCAATTACCAATTGTTTTAGATCAAGTGGCATGAGACCTTGAGCTTTGCAACTCTCATTCTATCACGAATATTCATGTGTATTCCGAGTTTACTAATGAAGGCTACGTGACTACTTACATTTCAAGTATGGCCAAACATCGGGTATGGCTAACCAGGCCGTTCTCAGGGAATGTGAAAAAATCGCGGAATTCAGAGATAACACCATCATTGGAGTCCAAGAAATGTGTAAATACTTCATTCATTATGATGTGCTGCCGGGAATCTTAGCGAAGTATGCAAAATTTGCTTACTGTAGGTAATGCATACATATGACTAAAGCTGCCACCCAGTTGGATGGGTGTGGAGCAAGACTAGAAACTGTGCAACTCACCATAGATGTAAAGTGCCTTGTATAGTGACTGTTGTGAGCCTCTTGTTGATCACTTGTGACACAAAAGATTATTGATGTATGTATTTGTGTGGGTGATTAAATATGTACGTGTATGTATGTATATATATATATATATATGTCGTACCTAATAGCCAGAACGCACTTCTCAGCCTACTATGCAAGGCCCAATTTGCCTAATAAGCCAAGTTTTCATGAATTACTATATTTTCTCAAATTTTTGTCTTATGAAATGATAAACCTACCCATTTCATTATGTATGAGGTCAATTTTTGTTATTGGAGATAAAATTAACGTAGATATATGACCGAACCTAACCAACCCTACCTAACCTATCTTTATAGGTTAGGTAGCCGAAAAAGTTAGGTTAGGTTAGGTTAGGTAGGTTAGGTTGTCGAAAAAACATTAATTCATGAAAACTTGGCTTATTAGGCAAATCGGGCCTTGCATAGTAGGCTGAGAAGTGCGTTCTGGCTACTAGGTACGACATATATATATATATATATATATATATATATATATATATATATATATATATATATATATATATATATATATATATATATATATATATATATATATATATATATATATATATATATATATATATATATATATACACATGTATGTATGAGTATGTGTACATGTATATATAACATTAATAATTGTGTAACTAGCGTCGAAAGATTGTTATTTGCTTAGTTAAACGAACTAGAGGGTTCACCACCCACGGGATGTGTATGGGGTGCATAATAAAGAAAGAAATTGAATTGTTTATAGTAATAAGCTTAACACGGGATATGATCAAATCGTACACTCAACGATTCGACAAGGCTCGTTTTCTGTTCGTTAAAACCGTGCATATCGTTACGTTATTAGCTTAGGATAGACTGTGTTAGGCTGGATAGTGTTAGGTTACATCACATGGTTTTGTGTACAAGATGACTTATATCCCCAGCAATTCTGCAAGATTTGGATATTGGACACACCCAGCTAACTCCTGACCTACATTGTGTAACTCGCCCTAACAGAACGTCGCATTTACCTGAGGGGCCACTAACATTAGTGGCCCCTCTAACAGGATCCTGGCCTGTCACTCGAATAATCATGAAAACACTTGGGGTGTACTGTAGTATCGACAGGAGCCAGGCTGGACACTCTAGTACTGTCACACCTCAACAAGGGACTGACATGAGTACTGTTTAATTAAGGGTACTAGGTCACTAAGGGTCAAAGGGCATGGTAAGCCCAATATCACTAAGACAGGAACCATTAATACACACGGGAATAACATTTGAAAATATGACTTTATTTAACACGCATATAAAGACACCTCCTAACTAAGTCCCCTAACAGAGGCAAAGATAATTGAATGGTAAGGTGCTGGGTACAAGAGAGCCGCACTTACTACCGCTTGTCCCACCTGACCTTGAGAAGATGTCCTTCCCGGAGCCACAAAAACTCTTCTAACCTCCACCACTTCAAGAAAAAGTTCCAGCCCCGCTCCTGTGCCAGGTAGGTCCACAACCGGGCTCACCATAGCCCGTGCTGCTCGGAACTTACGTTTCGAGCAGCTGAATCTAAAACAACAACAACATCCACCACTTCTCAACCTGTTCTGTCCTCTGGATGTGACCTCTCCTATCCAGCTGAACGTGAGAGTGATAAAGATTAAGACTCCCCCAAGAGGTGGCACGGGCATGAATAGCCCGTAATGAACGGGAGGTCTTCAGCTTCAATTGACCTGTCCCATGATTAGCTTCTCAGAGGTGTGACTTTCCTATTATCTTTGTCCCCGACTGTCTGGCGCCTGTAGCTGTTCTGCTGTTCCACTATGTACTGCTCTCTTGTTACACTGTCCCGTTTTCTGTTTTGGGTCCTCTGGTAGGTTAGGAGAGGTTGACGTTGGGTGGGCGGGCTGTTGTAACCCCCCCCCTCTCCTCACATAGATTGGGCAACAACACAGTGTTGTGTGCCTAGACTGCCCAAGGAACACAAATTATATTGTGTTTACCAAAAATGCTCATTCCTACTCTTGCTGCAACGAAATATATCTAATTACTACCAAAACTACAACGAAAAAATGTTCAATCGTAATTAAGTAACACTAGAACATGACCGTTCGTTCTTAAGTAACAGATGTTACTTAATGTTCGATCTTAACAGTAACAGAACATGGATGGATAACACAAGAACATGACTAGTTCGTTCTTAAGTAACACTAGAACATGACCGTTCGTTCTTAAGTAACACCAGAACATGACCGTTCGTTCTTAAGTAACACCAGAACATGACCGTTCGTTCTTAAGTAACACCAGAACATGACCGTTTGTTCTTAAGTAACACCAGAACATGACCGTTCGTTCTTAAGTAACACCAGAACATGACCGTTCGTTCTTAAGTAACACCAGAACATGACCGTTCGTTCTTAAGTAACACCAGAACATGACCGTTCGTTCTTAAGTAACACCAGAACATGACCGTTCGTTCTTAAGTAACACCAGAACATGACCGTTCGTTCTTAAGTAACACCAGAACATGACTCGTTCGTTCTTAAGTAACACCAGAACATGACTCGTTCGTTCTTAAGTAACACCAGAACATGACTCGTTCGTTCTTAAGTAACACTAGAACATGACCGTTCGTTCTTAAGTAACACTAGAACATGACCGTTCGTTCTTAAGTAACACAAGAACATGACTCGTTCGTTCTTAAGTTCCAACATGAATCATCCATATTTTAGTTACACCTGAATTATTCATATTTAAATTACACCACGAATCATTAACACATCAGCCACACCACGAATCATTAACACATCAGCCACACCACGAATCATTAACACATCAGCCACACCACGAATCATTTACACATCAGCCACACCACGAATCATTAACACATCAGCCACACCACGAATCATTTACACATCAGCCACACCACGAATCATTAACACATCAGCCACACCACGAATCATTTACACATCAGCCACACCACGAATCATTAACACATCAGCCACACCACGAATCATTTACACATCAGCCACACCACGAATCATTAACACATCAGCCACACCACGAATCATTTACACATCAGCCACACCACGAATCATTTACACATCAGCCACACCACGAATCATTTACACATCAGCCACACCACGAATCATTTACACATCAGCCACACCACGAATCATTTACACATCAGCCACACCACGAATCATTAACACATCAGCCACACCACGAATCATTTACACATCAGCCACACCACGAATCATTAACACATCAGCCACACCACGAATCATTTACACATCAGCCACACCACGAATCATTTACACATCAGCCACACCACGAATCATTTACACATCAGCCACACCACGAATCATTAACACATCAGCCACACCACGAATCATTTACACATCAGCCACACCACGAATCATTTACACATCAGCCACACCACGAATCATTTACACATCAGCCACACCACGAATCATTTACACATCAGCCACACCACGCAATCACGCATACTTAAGTCACATAATTATTCCTTCATATTAAAGTTACATCATAAAACATTCCTCCATAAGTCACAGGGAAACATATAGTCCATAACGGGAACAAGTACCGTCCCTTCCCCCTGGCTCACTGTTGTTATAGATTCAGCTACTCGAAACAAGTTCCAAGTAGCACGGGCTATGGTGAGCCCGTATCCCTGGCTCACCCGGGGCTCCTCAACGAGGACTGCAACAGATCCCGGATTCACGGAGCAGTTACGCAAGTACTTACGAACGTGTACATCTTTCCTCAATCTTTAACGGCTTTGGTTACATTTATTAAACAGTTTACAAGCATGAAAACTTCTGTTGTTATTGTTATAAACAGCCTCCTGATTCTTCAGAGCTCATTAACTGTTTAATAATTGGAAACAAAACCGCCAAAGATTGTGAAAAGATGTACAGGTTCGTAAGTGCTTTCGTGAATCTGGCCCCTTGCCTCTCGGGACGCCATAGTTTAGTTTAGCTTATGTGTTATGCACCCCATACCCATCCTGTGGGCGGTAGTGGGAAAGGTTACAGAAATTGAAATTGAAATAAGTTTATTGAGGTAAAATACACACAAAGGGATGAGGTAGCTCAAGCTATTCTCACCCCGTTCAGTACATCGTGTTAATACGTACATAGACACACACATCACAAGCAATAAACGTATTACCGAACATTGTGAGGAGGTTACAGAGGTGCGCGTTGTGTGCCTCTGTATGTACACTGGCTGAACCGTCTTGGAGACCCTCCACAAATGCCACCATTCTGAAGTCTCCGATGACCAGCCAGTCGTAGTCTTCATGCTTGAAGGCGTGCACCAAGGTACACCAGGCCAGATTCACGAAGCAGTTACGCAAGCACTTACGAACCTGTACATCTTTTCTCAATCTTTGACGGCTTTGTTTACAATTATTAAACAGTTAATGAACTCCGAGGCTGTTTATAACAATAACAACAGCTGATTGGGAATTTCATGCTTGTAAACTGTTTAATAAATGTAACCAAAGCCGTTAAAGATTGAGGAAAGATGTACACGTTCGTAAGTACTTGCGTAACTGCTTCGTGAATCCGGGACCTGTTGCAGTCCTCGTTGAGGAGCCCCGGGTGAGCCAGGGATACGGGCTCACCATAGCCCGTGCTACTTGGAACTTGTTTCGAGTAGCTGAATCTATAACAACAGTGAGCCAGGGGGAAGGGACGGTACTTGTTCCCGTTATGGACTATAACGGGAGAACGATCGAGTCATGTTCTGGTGTTACTTAAGAACGAACTAGTCATGTTCTTGTGTTACTTAAGAACGAACTAGTCATGTTCTGGTGTTACTTAAGAACGAACTAGTCATGTTCTTGTGTTACTTAAGAACGAACTAGTCATGTTCTGGTGTTACTTAAGAACGAACTAGTCATGTTCTGGTGTTACTTAAGAACGAACGGTCATGTTCTGGTGTTACTTAAGAACGAACGGTCATGTTCTGGTGTTACTTAAGAACGAACGGTCATGTTCTGGTGTTACTTAAGAACGAACGGTCATGTTCTGGTGTTACTTAAGAACGAACGGTCATGTTCTGGTGTTACTTAAGAACGAACGGTCATGTTCTGGTGTTACTTAAGAACAAACGGTCATGTTCTGGTGTTACTTAAGAACGAACGGTCATGTTCTGGTGTTACTTAAGAACGAACGGTCATGTTCTGGTGTTACTTAAGAACGAACGGTCATGTTCTAGTGTTACTTAAGAACGAACTAGTCATGTTCTTGTGTTATCCATCCATGTTCTGTTACTGTTAAGATCGAACATTAAGTAACATCTGTTACTTAAGAACGAACGGTCATGTTCTAGTGTTACTTAATTACGATTGAACATTTTTTCGTTGTAGTTTTGGTAGTAATTAGATATATTTCGTTGCAGCAAGAGTACGAATGAACATTTTTGGTAAACACAATATAATTTGTGTTCCTTGGGCAGTCTAGGCGCACAACACTGTGTTGTTGCCCAATCTATGTGAGGAGGAGGGGGGGGGGGTTACAACAGCCCGCCCACCCAACGTCAACCTCTCCTAACCTACCAGAGGACCTAAAACAGAAAACGGGACAGTGTAACAAGAGAGCAGTACATAGTGGAACAGCAGAACAGCCACAGGCGCCAGACAGTCGGGGACAAAGATAATAGGAAAGTCACACCTCTGAGAAGCTAATCATGGGACAGGTCAATTGAAGCTGAAGACCTCCCGTTCATTACGGGCTATTCATGCCCGTGCCACCTCTTGGGGGAGTCTTAATCTTTATCACTCTCACGTTCAGCTGGATAGGAGAGGTCACATCCAGAGGACAGAACAGGTTGAGAAGTGGTGGATGTTGTTGTTGCTTTAGATTCAGCTGCTCGAAACGTAAGTTCCGAGCAGCACGGGCTATGGTGAGCCCGGTTGTGGACCTACCTGGCACAGGAGCGGGGCTGGAACTTTTTCTTGAAGTGGTGGAGGTTAGAAGAGTTTTTGTGGCTCCGGGAAGGACATCTTCTCAAGGTCAGGTGGGACAAGCGGTAGTAAGTGCGGCTCTCTTGTACTCAGCACCTTACCATTCAATTATCTTTGCCTCTGTTAGGGGACTTAGTTAGGAGCTGTCTTTATATGCGTGTTAAATAAAGTCATATTTTCAAATGTTATTCCCGTGTGTATTAATGGTTCCTGTCTTAGTGATATTGGGCTTACCATGCCCTTTGACCCTTAGTGACCTAGTACCCTTAATTAAACAGTACTCATGTCAGTCCCTTGTTGAGGTGTGACAGTACTAGAGTGTCCAGCCTGGCTCCTGTCGATACTACAGTACACCCCAAGTGTTTTCATGATTATTCGAGTGACAGGCCAGGATCCTGTTAGAGGGGCCACTAATGTTAGTGGCCCCTCAGGTAAATGCGACGTTCTGTTAGGGCGGGTTACACAATGTAGGTCAGGAGCCAGCTGGGTGTGACTAATATACAAATCTTGCAGAATTGCTGGGGATATAAGTCATCTTGTACACAAAACCATGTGATGTAACCTAACACTATCCAGCCTAACACAGTCTACCCTAAGCTAATAACGTAACGATATGCACGGTTTTAACGAACAGAAAACGAGCCTTGTCGAATCGTTGAGTGTACGATTTGATCATATCCCGTGTTAAGCTTATTACTATAAACAATTCAATTTCTTTCTTTATTATGCACCCCATACACATCCCGTGGGTGGTGAACCCTCTAGTTCGTTTAGCTAAGCAAATAACAATCTTTCGACGCTAGTTACACAATTATTAATGTTATATATACATGTACACATACTCATACATACATGTGTATATATATATATATATATATATATATATATATATATATATATATATATATATATATATATATATATATATATATATATATATGTCGTACCTAGTAGCCAGAACGCACTTCTCAGCCTACTATGCAAGGCCCGATTTGCCTAATAAGCCAAGTTTTCATGAATTAATGTTTTTTCGACAACCTAACCTACCTAACCTAACCTAACCTAACTTTTTCGGCTACCTAACCTATAAAGATAGGTTAGGTAGGGTTGGTTAGGTTCGGTCATATATCTACGTTAATTTTATCTCCAATAACAAAAAATTGACCTCATACATAATGAAATGGGTAGGTTTATCATTTCATAAGACAAAAATTTGAGAAAATATAGTAATTCATGAAAACTTGGCTTATTAGGCAAATTGGGCCTTGCATAGTAGGCTGAGAAGTGCGTTCTGGCTATTAGGTACGACATATATATATATATATATACATACATACACGTACATATTTAATCACCCACACAAATACATACATCAATAATCTTTTGTGTCACAAGTGATCAACAAGAGGCTCACAACAGTCACTATACAAGGCACTTTACATCTATGGTGAGTTGCACAGTTTCTAGTCTTGCTCCACACCCATCCAACTGGGTGGCAGCTTTAGTCATATGTATGCATTACCTACAGTAAGCAAATTTTGCATACTTCGCTAAGATTCCCGGCAGCACATCATAATGAATGAAGTATTTACACATTTCTTGGATTCCAGTGATGGTGTTATCTCTGAATTCCGCGATTTTTTCACATTCCCTGAGAACGGCCTGGTTAGCCATACCCGATGTTTGGCCATACTTGAAATGTAAGTAGTCACGTAGCCTTCATTAGTAAACTCGGAATACACATGAATATTCGTGATAGAATGAGAGTTGCAAAGCTCAAGGTCTCATGCCACTTGATCTAAAACAATTGGTAATTGCACAATACATATATATAATGTTGAAGAATGTGTATTAGAATTTTCACAGAGGTTGAAAACTTGTTGAAAGATTCGTACCGTGCCATTACCTACCTTAGGTAACGATATCTTAGCCTTATAAACATGAATGGAATATCTTACCCTTCATCTGTCAATAACATGTTCTAAATAGATCGTAGCTCTTAATTCTACGGCTTAGTGCCAACTTATGTGATTTATTCTGTCAGACTAAATATTTTGTTTTGTGAAACAGTGGGGTTTTCACAATAGGGAATGGGCGTCCTAGGGCTGGTTCCATTTCATGTCTTTTACATGCAGATTTAGTTGTCTGTTCTGTTACCTCGGGTACATAGGGTCTCGTAGTACAGTTGGCTTCGCTCTCGAATCATACTCAGGGACCTCGGGTTCGAATCCTGGGCGGGGACAGACATGGGGCCCTTTTTTATTCACCAAATGCCTCTGTTCACCTAGCAATTGTTGTTACATCGTGACGAGGGTCAGTAGTTCGGTGCTAGAGGGACCTCGATACAAGCCTGAAGTGTATAAAAACACAGGCTTCTTGTTACCGATTAAATGAATTATTAAATTATATATGAGACGGCATCCATACAAGTGAAATTATATAACCCTGCATTAATTATATTATAATATATATAATTGTTGTTGTGAGCTTCACATTATGTAATTTGCAAGTTGGATTCC